CCAAATGAAAATAAATGATTTACCTCCGCAAAACTAAAGCAACACTTTATTTTACTGCCAAAAATAATTAACTAATTCTTCTGGACCTTGAACTCAACTAGGAGCTAGCAATATCAATACATCTTAAAGTAAACATTTACTGTTATGATCATGAGTTGCTTCTATTAAAAAGTTTCTACTTATTTGATGGCCCCTAAAGACTCTTCTGGACGTTTACTATGGCTAAAGTGAGACCTTACATTGGTGCTTTAACTGCTCTTATAGATGCGGTCCCATAAAATCTGTATATAATCTACTAATATGCCTGTCCCAAACAAACGAAGTATTTAAGAAGAAACCCATGGTAAATCCGTTCCCCCATAATTTAGCATTTTTAATTGGTATAAAATGTCATGTTTCACAGGAAGAAATGAAGAAAAGCTACATGACCATTTACGAGCGAGCACATGCAATATACTGCCGTGCTAAGGAAGAACGCCGTATGAGCCTCCAGGCGTTGCCAAATTTCCTCTGATAATATACGAAATTATCCTGGGAATTGTAAATATTTCTCTTCCGATTTTTCAGATTATTTCGTTCGCAATTCAATCTAAAATATTTGAAAATTTCAAGGAAAAATATGCTTAAATTTCGTCAAAAATACATGTTTTATCCGGAGAAATTTGGCTTGGAACTTGATATCCGCAGCCCATTTATGAAAATTGGCAAAAAAATTGCTACCGACACCAGTCATCTTAATTTGATGAACCATCTTATTTTATTTAATATTTAATCAGGAGTTTCCCTCTGACCGCTATGCTGCCGTGCTAAGGAGGAACGCCGTATGAACATTCAAAAGTTTCCACTTTTCCTGTTCGATAAAATGTTAATTTTTAAGGAAAACTGTGAATATTTTTCCTTGAAATTTTCAGACACTTCAGATCATATTACGAACAAAATTATCTGAGGAATTGGCAGAAAAATATTAAAAAACTTTCCCGAAAATTAGTGATTTGTCAGAGGAAATTTGGCAACGCCTGAAGGTTCATACGGCGTTCTTCCTTAGCACGGCAATATGTAGCCCAACCCCAAAGAGGGCTCCAGGTTTTTAAGAACCACTTCTCGGCAATGAAAACTTCTTGCCATGATTCGCAAATCCGAAGACAGGATTTTGATATTGTCATCCACTGGTAACCATAAAACGCGATTGAAATAATCGTGATAAATTTTCTCGTATACGGAACATTAGTTTGAGTTTTTCCTTATTTCCTTCTGGAAAATCCCCGCCTGAATAGATGGAATAATTATCGAGGCTGCCCTTCTCGCTTGTAATTACAGTGATTCAACTATGCACGTGAAATATAAGTTTTGACAATTTTTCACGGGTGTCAATGCGAGGATTAATTTACCAACTGTGTGAACTTTTGAACCTAAGTTCATGAATAAACCATTCGGGTATGTTTTTTTTTTTTTTTTTTTTTTTTTTTTTTTTTTTTTACTACTTCAAATAGCCCACAAGGGCTAATCCCACGCTTTAAGTCCCATCCCCCCTCCGTCCCTACTGAACCAGCCCCAGGCAACCATTGTTTGAGACCATCAAACTCATGTTGGCCTGATGCTCTCGCGCAAGATTGCTACCGCTCAGCTTTCGGTGATTTATTTCATCGGGAAACACCATAAATAACATCACGATTTAAAAAAATAAATTACCCGTATTGAACAATCTAAATTTTGCTTATCTTTTCATGTCCATTTCTTTTATGAAAAATCGCAATCAGGAGTGGTGCTTCGAAGACCTTGATATTTTCCATTCATAGACCGGGCTGTCCGGCTGTGTACAAAATTTATGGATGGAAGTTCATGTCTTCAAGGCGCCTGACTTTCCACAGAACGCAACGTGCGCGGCAACTTACAATCTCTCATTGTGAATATCTACTGCTCAGCACGGATCGCACAGTATGAACTGCCAGATGCAGAAGCGTGTTCTATGGATCAAACAAGACTTTTTTTCTTCTTTGAAATTGTTTTCCGAAAGTACATTTTAAGAAGGCTACAGTCCCCCAAAGATCTGGAAAATGAATACTTTTCCTGCATTTTGGCAATGGTAACGCACCGAACCTAATGAAAATTCCTTAGCACCCTAACTTAATTCATTGGCAGCATTGGAAATATCAAAATCTTGGTTAAAATTGGAGGTTTGGTGGCCGCAACACACCACTTTTTTACGCCAAAAACTAAGTTATTTACCTTTTCAGGTCTAAGACCCCTCCCGGACGGAACCTTGCATAACCCCATCTTTTAATTGAGACTTCGATTTTTCCAATGTCACCAATGAATTCAGCGTATCGCATGACGTGCTCACCTAATTTTTATGAAATTCGGGGCAAACACTGTTGCCAAAATGCTTGAAAACAATTTATTTCCCAGAACTTTTGGGGGTTGTAGCGGGTAACGGTAGCTCCTCTAAGAAGCACTTTTGAAAGAAATCTCACTGGAATAAGACTTATACTGACTCACAGAACACGCTCTTGCAAACTGGCGGTTTAATCAGGGGCAATTTTGTAAACTGGCATCATTGTTTTTCTTCCATTTAAATCCATTAAAAATATCGATTTTAGGCGAGTCAAGCTGTCTCAAAAAGAATATATTGTTTTGCATACATTTGAATGAAAGAAAATCAGTGTTTCCAAATTTCAAGAAACGCCACTGAGTTTAACCTTGCATCACCCTGTATAATTAAGTTAAATGGACCAAATTTTGAAATAAGAAACCACTATTTCTGGCTCATTTTAGAATCAGCACATACCCCATTGGTTTCACTATGATGCTTTTTTATAGCCTGGTTACAGGATCAAATTGAACCATCAAATTGAACCATCAAATTGGGCCTCTCATTGGCCGCATCCTCACCTCAGATCGTTTTCCACCAATCAGAGCTTCAGTTTGATAGCTCAATTTGATCGTGTAACTGGACCTATAGAAGAGCCAGAGATAGCGGTTCCTCATTGCAAAATGTAATCCAAATAAAATTGTCCGGTAAAGAGACAGCTTAACAAGGCTGCTCTCCAATGTCCGTCTCGATGTTAAGAATTGTCGTCGAGCTAGGAGGAAACAGGAGGAAACAACTGCAAGTGGATACATCAAAAACACTTATATGAATTAGTTTTCCTTATTCCGTTTTATTTCATATCATGAGTCAGTATAAAATTAAAAATTGGTCTGATTTTCATAAATAAAAATTAATAGTTTAGTTAACAAAGAACAACAAATCAATTACCTACTTAAAAAGTGTTACTTTTCCGCTATCTTGAATAACATTATGGACGGCACTAGAGAAAATAGCATTATTTACAAGTTTATGTTTATTTCCTTTACCTCATGTAAATACCACGTATGTATATAAATAACTCTATACAAGCTGAGTTTTATAGTATATAATACTATGACTCCTCTCACATCACGTGGCTGCCTACAATAACGCTTCCTACGGTTGACCATCAAATAAGAATACTTCTTTTTGGAGGTAAACACGATTCAATAGTTGATCCGCCAATAAATTATTTAACACTTTTGATTATACTTTTAAACCTCCTTCGAGGCACTTTCAATTTTACGACACTTCACAAAATTTCAGAGGAATTAATATTTCAAAAACAGAAAGCACTACAAAATATGACTAGCTGTCCTAAAGATACGATTCCCTTGATTCTTCCTTTTTCTCTGTCAAATACGATTAAATTTTAGAGAAAAGTGTATCATTAGGCATATAACCAAGAAAGATGGTAATTTTACGGACTTTATTTTTCAGTGAGATAAGCATCGTTCCCTGGATCCAGCACGTGTCAGCTTTCGATCCGTGGCGTTCTATTTCAGGCAAAATTCAATTCTTTATTTCGAATAACTCTACAATATTTTCACCAAAATTCTTAATCTGAAAAATATCATAGTGACGAAAAACTATTGGCTGATTAAAAAATTGTAAACCATGGTATGGCAATAGCCAAAGCAACCGTGACTGATACCATACTGCGGAAATATTACCACACCTCGGGAGGAATTTTAATTTGTAGAGATCGCAAAGCAGACATATTGCCATTTGGACTATGCTATGAGGAGCTACAATTTTCGGTTCATCCATAAAAACACTTGTATGTAATTATAGTACAGGCAAACTAATGGTACATACCAAAGCGATATGGTTGTTTCTAAACTGGACCAGAAATTGTAGTTCTCAATTTCAAAATGTATACTTTATTCTTTATAGCTGCGGTTGGTCCAGTTCTTCGACATTTAAGTCTCTCATTCAACAAGCTAATAATTTTTACAATTCTTTGTTTGCTTTCGGTGTGGCCCAAGATATGTTTCACATGTAAATGAACTACGGTCTTATCTCGTTATAACATTTTCGAAGGGGATTCAGAGCTGGGTCATTGTTTCCGGTAGAACGTTATTTCGAGAAACGCTCCAACGAAAAACGATTCAATCATGTTCTCCCTCAATTGATGATCAACCTAGAGAGAAATTGTTAAAGTAAAGGCTCATGAGCTATGTGGATTTGAAATATTCAGGATATGTGCCCAAACATTGCTGCAAGTTTCGTCGATTTCAGCTTCTAAATTTTGTCTACTAGTTCTGGGTCTTGGCTTACCGACATCTGAACAGACATTTAGCTTTTTTATCGTATTCTTCGAAGATGAAGGGTCCATTGCGTGTTGAAGAATACATTTAGATGGCTGGAGTTTGCAAATGAGCCAAAAATTAAATGACACCTTCAAACGCTGTTTCTGCATCCAATAAATATTTGACGAAAAAATTGCACCTCAAGGAAGGAGCTGATTACAGCCGTCCTAAGGAAGAACACCGTATGAACATTCGAGAGTTGCCAAATTTCCCCTGATAAAATATGCATTTTTGGAGAAAGTTATGAATGTTTTTCCTTGAAATTTTCAGATATTTTAGATTAAATTACGTACAAAATTGTCCAAAAAGTTGGATGAAAAATATTTAAAACTTTCCCGATAAATTCGTAATTTCTCAAAGGAAACTTGGCAACGGCTGGAGGTTCATACGTCGTTCTTCCTTAGCACGGCAGATTAATAAACCACATGAATAAGGTCCCTAAGCTGGAGTCCTCTTTTTGAGTGTAGAATCGATTCTGAACCATCCAACAAGAATCCTGGCACATCCTGAATATGAAATCCGATAGCAGTGAATTAAAATAAGATTGACTATTTTGAGCATAATACAGGCGCAAATCTCTAATTAAGCAAAACTGAACTGACGTTGTTTCATATGACGAGAGCAGTGTGTCCTGGTCAAGTCTCGTTCGCTTTGGGTTGGAACTCGCGGTTTCTTCTCGGGAGTTATCGCCCAGCCGGTCACCGACAACTTCGACTCCACGTCTTCGTCTTTCTTCGGTGTCCACGGTGCGTTCAACCTTAAAACAATGCAACGAAACTATAATAGAAAATAATTAAAAAGTTGCACAAAGCACATAAACGTTAAGGTTGGCAAATGGAAAAATGACATTAGATTCAGACGCGAGACCCTCTACCAGTGTGCAAGGAGCAATCACACGAACAAACAAACAAACAAACAAACATATTCAACTTCTCCTGAAACCTTTCGGCACAGGGCCGGATTTACTTACTTACCACCAATGGGCCGCCTGTATCTTGCCACCCCCTTCTCATTCGTTTTGAAACATCAATCAAAAACCATCAAGTGAACGTGCCGGAGGGGGAGGGGTGCATAAGACGCGTTTACTCGTGTTGGACACATTTTTGAGATACGTGGTTTCGCACTTCAGTCGGACCGATACGGACATCCAACAAGCTTAAATAGTTGTATCAAGTCCCCGTCACCCCCGACCAACGCGTTTGTCGATCGAATCAACTACAGGTATTATGCGTAGGAAGTCAAAACGCCTTCAATTTTTTGAACGCAATACGGACATCCGTCGAGGTTGTATAGTTGTATCAAGGCGCCGTAGCGAGCGCGTCCCATTCTTTATCGTTACAGACGAATATAAGTTGAGAGAGGCCAGTCATAATGCCTTCAATTTTATACATACATATTTTTGGTAGTTCAGGCGCCTGGTAGCTAAAAATGAGGCTACCTCGAATTCCGGGTACACAGCTTATTTTTTGGCTTACTTTATGTTTTTATGGGTCGCTGAATCCGAATCTGAAGTTTCCTACCGCGTATCTGGTGAGCATTTTCCGCCATTATGAAAAAATGGCCTAAAAAGGCCTTTTTGTTGCGGTTTTTTTGATATAGCGGCTACGCATGAGAAAAAGTCCTAGATTTAGTTAATGTTTTGAATAGCTGAAATTATTTGGAATAAAATGGTTTATACATATGCTAGGTTTGCTTGAAAATTGAGGAAGATACAGCGTCGTGATCATCGCGCCCATTCACGTTTTCGCAGCGCACCTGTCAACGCGCGATCCGGCTCGCCGCGGTCAGCCAAGTTCCGAAGTGTTCCAAAGTTCCGAGCTCCGAGGTTCCTCAATTTTTGAGCAAACCTAGCATATTTATAAACCATTTTATTCCAAATTATTTCAGCTATTCAAAGCATTAACTAAATCTAGGACTTTTTCTCATGCGTAGCCGCTATATCAAGAAAACCGCAAAAAAAGGCCTTTCTAGGCCATTTTTTCAAAATAGCGGAAAATGCTCACCAGGTACGCGGTAGGAAACTTCAGGTTCGGATTCAGCGACCCAAAAAACATAAAGTAAGCCAAAAAAATCGCTAAGTACCCAAAATTCCAGGTAGACTTACCAGGCGCCTGGACTAATGTTGTTCCTCCATCCTGTAATCATCCTAACTGAAGTGTCATTGCTTTTTTCAAAGAGTAATCATTTTTCTGAGAAAGTTAAATACGCACTGTAAAAAAATTTTGGAGTGAAATTCTGTGCCGGAGTCTGTGTAGCGCCCAAAAACCCCGAGTGGTATGAAAGGGAAGCAGAAACTATTCTCCTTACTGAGTGACTCAGGTACACTATTACAGTGTTGAATATCTACTCTTTTTGCGGTGTGTAATACGCTTTTATGGTGTTAATATTATTTCGCATTAATATCACGCGGGGTTTGCCAGCCCTACATATATGTAGATAAGTCCTAATGCAGTGGTTTTCTTTTAGCCATATTTTTAGTGTGTATTTTTTTGAGCAGTTGATAATGGTTCGAGTCGCCAGCCGAAACGTAAGCGGTTATTTTTGTAATTTTAGCATTTTCCCCCCACTTTTTTATTATTTTTCTTGTTATATATAGACTTCGGCACCGAATTTCACTCCTCAATTTTTAACGGTATACAACGGACCAACTCCTTGAAGGTAGTTTTCCCTCCTCCCTTACCTCTTGTAAGTAAGTATAGCGGACAACATAAAAAATTAAAAGCCCATTGGGCAGCAGTTTTTCAGAGTTCATTTCTGAGCTTCCGTTTTCATCATCTCAGTTCAGAATCATAATTGGCCCGGAATGATTGCCCGGTCACCTATACGTTTGTGAGTGTTTACAGGGGTAATGTGGTGGCGCACTGGCAGAAATAGAGCAAGTATTCCTCAGCGGCGAGGCGTTAATGATCGATAATCGATATCTCCCCATTTGAAGCTGTGGTACAGGATCGATTATTGAATTGTTCGTTGCAAACATCCCCTGTATCGATCCTTTTCCATAGGTTTAATTGGCGGATAAATCGATACATCGCAAAGCACGCCACGCCACTGGTATTCCTGGTTCAAGGTAGGACGGCCTCCTGGAACACGTGCAGTGCAATGCGGTGTGTAATTGAAATGTTTGCTGGAATCTTTGACAGGGTTGCCGAGTTACACACTGTTAAAAATGAAAGTATGAAATTCGGTAGTGGAGTCTAAATAGCGCCCAAATACCCCGAGTGGTATGAATTTGAAGTGAAATTCACTCCGCAAAAGAAGCAGACTCTGCTTTGTAATAATGTAAGTCACTCCGTGAGGAGCATAGACTCCGCTCCGTACTCTTATCACTCGGGGTTTTGGACGACATATAGGCTCCGGCACAGAATTTCACCCCCAAAATTTTTAACAGTACAGACAATTTCACCCCTCCATATCTCGTTTGCAACAATAATGCAGCTTATTTTAAGTAGCGTCTAAATTAAAAAAAAAAAAAAAAAAAAAAAAAAAAAAAAGGGAGTCACTATGGCTTCTTACAATCTTTCTGTGAAACAGTTTTTTTGTCTTTATACATAGGAACTACATTAATTCCAATTTCCACATGACCCCCAGAAAGCATAGAGTCATATGGGGAGCAGGGCTCTCATGGGAATCGAAATTCGTCCTTATGACACAGGAGCGACGAAATTAGGTATTCGTGCAGAACTTGTTATTTTTTGCTAATATATGAGCTTAAACCATCAAAACGTGATTCTGTAACCAGCGCAACTGGGGACACCTATTCGAATCAGTAACATTTTCGGAGGGGTTTTTCAGGTGCCAGCACCGGTGGAAAAAAATATCTGCAGCCTGATCTGGCGTCACTGAGGGAGGAGGGATATTGAGAGGGATTTTGGCGCCACTCCAGGACGAAGAGAGACAAGGAGCCGCGCTCGAATAGCGACCGTTCTTCAAGATCATAACCGCTCCGTTTGAAAAATCGAGAGTAATTAAGTTATAAATGCTTTGATCCAGCCACGCAGGGTTTCAAAGGCGGTGGGCCTCGTGCTCTGCGTCGCACAGTGGAGCGAGTCAATTAGAGCGGTCGGACGTGAAATTTTTGACTAAATTTGCAAATTTTGATGTTTATTTCGTCACATTTAAATTTTGAATGAGTGCTACTCAAAGAAAATTTCACGAGAAAACCGATGGAACCACTTTTAGAACCTCAAAAGTTTGTATAAACGGATTTATCAGCTTTTAAAGTTTCCACGTCTTGTCCGACCTCTCCTATTGAATTGATCCGCTGTGCGTCGGGTCATTCATGTGAGCACGACAGGAACCCAGAGGCGGGGCCAGGTGGGCAATGATTTTCTTGTTAAAGTTAAAAAAAAGGAATTGAAACAGGAATTCAGTCAAGGATCTAGAGGAAGTAAATTTTAAGTAGTTGGGGGTCGTATCCTTTTAAATATAATTTCATCTGAGTTTGTATAAAATGAACAGCTTGAGAGATAGCTTTTTTATGTTTTAAAATAAGATAATAAAAACTTACCCGCCTGGGTTTTGAAACATGGCATTCTTTTCAATTATTTCCTGGACAGCTGGCCAGAGAAGTGCGAGTTGCTCTGCCGATGGTGTGGTTTGCTCTTTGTGTTTCCAACCCTGCACAAGACAGTCTATTTTTCAGTTAACCACTTGTAGAATCTCCTCTTTACTCATTTCTTTTTCGAAAATGACTGAATCAAACTGTGATCCACACTCTCAGAAGCACTGTCACAAAAATGAATCAAAGTTCGTAGGAACCTTAAACTACTTGTGTGTCAGAAAAATTAGTAAATACATGGACTGTTACTCTTTCCTTCTATTTTCTTTGCCAAGCCGGAACAATAAAATGAAGAGATAAAGTTAGGTATGTGATGTTACAGATCTATTCGAATTGAAACTTTAAAGGTAATGTTGTAAAGTCAACAGATATCGTAAACAAAGCAACAGTACTTTTGATGAATATAATTGCCTTTACTCTTAACTTAATGGGAAAGTTTATGGTTACAGACAACTTCTATTAACTACACATTTTTCAAGAATCAACACGAGTGATCGAATTTCAAAATATGCATATCCCTTTCTGCTTTATTCAGCTCTTTTAGACGTGTTCTCCTTGTATCTGATCATCGCACTGCGAATAATTGGCAACTTACTTTTTTATGCATTTGATGATGGTGGTGGTGATGATGATGATGGGCATCTAAGTCCGGAAGACATTGGAAAGTTTCATCCCGGTGTTTCTCTATACTCCTATCTCGTTCTGAAATAAAAAAAACCGTCATCGTTGAATTTAAAAGTACAAAAAGTAAACGGCAACATCGTGAAGTAAAAACTTGTGACCGGGTAATTCAAAGTTCCCGTAATAAATGTACAATAAAAACGTTAATATCTGAGCTAGAAGTTGATTTCAGTAGTTTTCGTTGCGCGAATCATGTTATGAGTGAAATTCTGTTGAAGAATCAAGTACCTATCAGAGTACTTAAATTCGTAACTTGTTTAGTGGTCCATTTAATCTAAAAAAGCGAACATAGAAAACTTTCCTAACTTTTCTCAAAAAACATATTTTACCGGGAGGCAACGTTGGACTGCGCATGCGGCGTCGAAACACAACATGGGCCTTTTAAGCCCCATTGTTCCATGCCGTGATTAGCTTAACGCGAATTCAAATGATCGCGCCGAACACGGTGCGGTCGGTGTTAAACTCATATTGGCGCCTGCAAGGCTGTAGGAATACTTCGCGCATTGCGCCAAGCAGTGCGGTCGGCTTCAAACGCATATTAGCGCCTACAAGACTGCATGAATACTGCTCGCATTGCAACAAATGCAATGCGAGCATTATTTGCGATAACTATTGGACTACTGGTATAGGCACACTGCCGCTAACTGAATTGATGGCGCATCACACTGTGAAGACGACTCGACACTCAACCGCGCTCCCTTCCTTGGCTTGCGCGACGCTAAAAAATCGCCGCACAACTAGGACCACGCGTCATTTCTTTTGACGGTCCCTGCCCGGTTTTTACCATAATGAAAGTGTAAATAAGTATCATAATTGCAACGCTTCGGCACCGTTCAAACAATGCAGCGATTCTGAAACTTGATTCGCGTAAAATTAATTTTGGTTTATAAAAGAAAACAGAACGAACGAAAATATCGCGTCAAAATTTTTTGTGATTTTATTTCAAATCATGTCGGAGATTTTTCGAAAACTTCTATAAAAAAACTGTGTATAGCTTTTTTTTAAAAATAAAATTGACTAAAAATAAATTATGAGTAGAGATATCAAACGGCGTTCTACCTTAACGCGACAGTTTATGTCTCGATACGGTTTCTAACTATTCATGTTTTTTTTTTTTTTTTTTTTTTTTTTTTTTTTTGTTTTGTTTTATTTTTTTAACGAAAATGTTGCAAATTATTTTGATTAACCACTCTCGCTCGTGAAGTTTATGTAAACACTGTGCATAATTAGGTACCTTCGAGTTAAATCCAACTTACTTCCTTTGCTGTTCACCGTCAAGGTCCACTGCTGACTGGACGAGCCGACCGATTTTTGCCTATCCTGGGAATGACTGAAAGCTAATTTCATTTCGACGTCTGTATTCGCCTCTTGATTGCCAGCAACTGTCACAGTCCAACTATTTGCTGAAACGTAACGATTAAACATCGTATTTGAGTACTGGAGCTGAGAGCCTATCGAGTTAAATAATTTATGTATCCATATTGCATTGGAGGTAACGTGACTTGATTGTTTGGTGTTGCTTAAAAGTTTCATACGTGTGCGATATCTTATATAGTCCTCGTTAGAATCTGGCATGCGCGCAGTTCTTCACAGTTACTTTCTAGTGATGAAATTTCTTCGGAAACATTGTATTACAATACCTCTCTTCAACTGTATGAAGGAATAATTAAAAAGATACTTTAAAATCCACGTTTCTCTCCGTGCGGTAAATCCGCTCTTAGCGGAAACTTTTTTATAGAATTATTTTTTACCGCCCTCCCCCGCCCACAAATCCCCACAAGACGACGTAATGTTCCCCCTCTTTTGGCAAAGGCCACTTTTTCTGATCATTTAAAATTTTGTAGGTGTGTGTTTATCTTTTCATTGTTCTTTTACATCATACTCATCAGAGCAGTGCCCTGAGAATATCATAAAAATTGTTGCTGGTTTTAATCAAAAGGAAATAAAAAAGTGTAGAGAGATAAAAATTCTGAGACGCCGCAATTGAAGTATGTGTTCTTCACACGTGATCCAAAGAAGATACAATTTTTACCATTTCACCATTGTGGGCGTCATTGGAGTAAAAATGACTACCTCATTTTATTGTTAAAATCTACATTATCGAATATTTCTCTGCGTTCAAATAAAATGAGAAAATTGAATTTTAATTAATGAGCGAATTACGGCGCGAATCAGTTACGTTTAGTTGGAAATGAGGTCCGGCCTATTTTTCTTAATTTTACGGTCAGTTTGGAATCAGGATTTACTTGTAATATTTGATATGGAAGACAAAATACAAACTCTAATCTAAAGCCATAATGACTTACCACTAGAGCTAGAGCTCAAATCTGCTCTATGACGATGGTTACTCCACCTTTTATCGGCGAGGAATTTAGGACTTTCTGAGCCACAGCTGGAGGAGGTTATCGATTGCTCAGAACACGCCAGCTCTCCGGAACCTAAAAATAATGATTTACTTATTACTCGATTAAAAATTTGATGAAATAAAAATTGCTTCGAAGCATGCTACAAGAATACAACTTACAAATCTGTACTACATAATTTATTCGCTCCAAAGGACTTCTCTCGACGGGAGACGATTGTGCTGGGGTGTAGTTTGTTCCGTCTCTCTTTCTGCCGATTAATTTTCTGTGAGCTATCACCGAGAAAATGCCAAGCAACTTAAATCAGTAAGTATTGGGTGGTGTTTGGAAATAACTGTCCCTGTAGGTCAGTCGACCAGAGTGTCACGCTCCTCTGTGACACTGACAGAACAATTTCGAATAATAGTCATGAGCAAAATGAGACGTCATACAGGATTAAATCAATGGCTGTATGCCGTAGTGTACGGCTTCAGGCGGCCAACTTGGTAGTCAATCTCTATTTTCCTCGAGAAAAACTGACTGGGTATATTCTTGTTTTCCTTTTATAGCTGTTTACAAAGCGTACATGCAGAAATGTACAGTAATAATATATTGTAGTATTGTTTTTCTTTTTCAATTTATAGAGGCAAAAATGTGACTGGTTTGACTCGTGGATTAGGTTTTTCGATAGAATGAACTAAATTATTAATTTGTAAATACCTTACTTGATTTTGAACTGCCCACAAATTCAATCTGATGATCTTTCGTTCATTTGAAACAAATGCACAATGAAATCAGAGTCTTTGAATTCAAATAATCGGTTCATTTATTCATTTTTAATTTGTTTTCGTTTTATTTCGAAGAATAGATTAGTATCCTGTGGATGGTATTTTGATAATGAAAACACATGACTTCACGTCGCAAAATATCCGTTAGCTTTAAGTCCAATGCAAGAAAACCGATGGTTTTTATTTGAAAAGAGAGTTATCTCATTTTACTTTTGTAGAAATTGCACGTAAAAATGTCGATTGAGCTCCTTTCAAAATAAAAAAATGAAGTGAATACGGAAAATGAGACTCGTATTTTTTTCAGTTTCACCATCTGGAGATGCTCGTTTATTCTTCAAGAGCCATCCATAAATTACGCTACGTTTCCAAATGAAATTTCAGATCCTCGTCTTCTCTTATAATGCACCATGATGATGGTCTAAATCTTTCCTACAAATTGTAAGACACTTCCCTTGATACACCTTATCTCCTCTTAAATTTTTTGACCGAAAATATATATCGTTTATGTATAAAAACCATGATAAGTCCAAATTAAAAGAAAATTTCCATTTTGGCACCGGCAAGCATTATCTGCTTTAATAGAATCCCGAAAGTAAGAAATGTGTCTGGTAAATATAGACGCTGGCTTGACTCCCTCTGTGCCTAGTTGAATTTACATCCTGGGATTGTAAACTTAGCTGTCGGAGCAGCCAAGCCAGCACGTAGATCCAACCAACTTATTCTTGACATTCCCGATGATAATGCTGCACATTATTGTTTTTGGTAATGACTTCTGTGAGACGTCACGCAATGATATCAAATCACGCACTCGTTACGCTTGTACACGGAGAAAAAACCTCGTGCGTGGGACCCGAAGTTTAGGTCATACGGATCTCTGAAGTTTTCAGATTGAGCATCTTCTGTCGAGGTTCGGATCACACATCTGAAACTTCAGTTCTTACATCTGAAGTACTTCGGTTTTCACATCCGAAAAACTTCGGTTCTCGCATCTGAAGTACTTCAGATGTAAGAACTGAAGTTTCAGATGTCAGACCTGAACTTCGGCAGCTAGACCTTAAGTGTTCAGATGCTCAATCCGAAAACTTCAGAGATCCATATGACCTAAACTTCGGGTCCCACGCACGAAGTTTTTTCTCCGTATAGACGCAGCTCATCCCCCCCTCTACCTCCAAAAGTTCGTAGCGTAAAGAATGAACGACTCTTTACGGGATGACTTACGACTCATGATGGATTTTGGCGAGGTGGGAGGCGATAGATCGGCATCGTACCTCGCGTCGGCGGCACTGGGCGCACCGCTGCGAGACCTGCGAGGCTTTCGACCGTTGAGAGCGAGTGAGGGTAACGTCTGTGGGTCCACTCGCTGGGGCTGCAAGGGGCTCCGGGAGGCCGCCGAGGACGGCGTCGAATGCGGAGGGCTCGAGATCTCCGGCAGGCTGATCTCGTCCGGCGGCGAGTGATGGTTCCGCCCGGCGGGAGGACCCAGGCCCACCCCCGGGAACTTGACGTTGCCTCGCAAGGACTCGGGGGCCGCGTGGATGTGCACCGTGTATTGTCCCAGCTCATCCTCGGGGGATCGACCGGAGTTTTGAGTTTGCTGGTCCACGAGGTCTGCGGGAGATGCGTTCGGGGTCCGCACGAACACTGGAAAGACATTTCGTACAATTAACGCGGGAAAAAACTTTGTGCGAAGGACTCGAAATTGAGGTCCTATGCTGCTGTGCTAAGGAAAAACGCCGTATGAACATTCGAGAGTTGCCAAATTTCTTCCGATATAATCTGTATTTTCAGGGAAAGTCATGGATACTTTTCCTTGAAATTTTCAGGAACTTTAGATCAAAATACGAACAAAATTCTCAGAAAAAATTGGGAGAAAAATATTCATAAGTTTTCCAGGACATTCGTGTTTAATCAAAGACGATTTGGCAACGTCGGATGGCTCATACGGCGTTCTTCCTTAAGACGGCAGTATGTATGTCTGAGGTTTTCGAATCACCCAACCGGAAACTTGAGGTCCAGCTGCCTAAAATCAGTCTATACCGAAATACTGCAGACGTGTGATCTGAACCCTTGGGTAAATACCGGAGTACCTTTGATGTTTGACTCGAACTTCGGATTGTGGACCTCAACTTTTCGGATGCGCGATCCGAAAACTTCAAGGATCCGTATGACCTCAACTTCAGTTCGCATGCAGGAAGTTTTTTTTCTCCGTGAGTTACTATGAATGGTGGCCGCATGCACAGTTTCATGCATAATCAAATTAATAATAAAATGGTAGGCCGAAGATGAGTATTTTTCATTTTTTATTTTTAAACAAGTGCTAATGCGTGTTTCGTCTTCGGAGAGGAATGTTTCGTCTCCGAACAGAGTTGTATTTCTTTTTCAAATAATTTTCGCCCATAACGACAATTCCTTCTTCATTCCTAGTATATGTAGGACACCCCCCCCCCTTGTGGTTGGCTTCCTAAGCACTCACTAGATGCTAAGGAGAGAAAACATTTCTCTCTTCTGCATTCAGTAGTTGTTTCCGAGAGAAATTTTTTCTCCCCCGAGCAACTATTTGATGCTTAGGATTGGATATCGAAATGCATTAGCACTTGTTTTTTAAAAAAAAATGAAAAATAAGCTTCTTTGGCTTACCTTTTTATTTTTAATCATGATAAATAGATGCAATATGTGGACGAACATCTTTCCACAAAATCAAATTATTCTTTAAAAAGAAGAGGTCCGAAACAATTGGAAGAGAAGAACCGTCCATCATCTTTGAAGTTAAGTAAATATCGCAAGTCTGAAATAATCAACGTGCAGCCTCTGACATAAACCGAAAAGTATGCCGTTGCCATCCTCTTCTTCCCGACTTTTAGGAGAAAGTCTGAGCTTTTTCTCCAAAAGTTGAGGTTAATTAATGGTTATTTTGCTTCCATTAAGAATATCATTTATTTTATGTATACAAATATATTTGCTAGTCAAGGATCTCTGACATAGGAGTTGTAGTTTACTTAGTTACTCACTAACCTTCCTCGTGCATCCCGTTCTCGGCGGTGACTTCCTGACTATCCCCGCGCAAGAGATAGAAGTTGATCCACCCTCTCGACAACGTCAAAAGCTCTTCCTGTTCGTCTGCCTCGAGGGCTGCGCGTCCTTTGTACTTGTCCAGGTCCCTCTTGGCGTCTCCACTCTTGATCTCTCCGTTGACGCGCTCGAAGCGACCCACCATCATGCTCGTCCGTTTCCCGATGATCTGCCCGGTGCGCCGCGATACACCCACATTCAAATTCCCCGCTCTTTTAACGTGTTCCGTATTGAGCGTGTGTTCGCTCACGCTCACGGGTCCATGATACGTGTTCCTCCGTCGTTCCATGCTCCGCTCGTAAATGAGCGGCTCCGTCATGACGACGTTGCCGACCGTGTGACGTCGCGACTCGCTCAGAAACGCGTCCTGCGTCAACCGGCAATCCGTCGCTGATCGGCAGATCTTGACGTCGTGAATGTTCCTGGCCTCACTCTTAGTTCCATTCCTCAGATCATTCCCATTCCTAGCCTCACTGCCGTTTCCGTTCCTGGGATCATCCCCATTCTTAACCTCAACTCCGGTCCCGCTTCTGAGGTCGTTCCCATTCTTGGCCTCACTCCCGTATCTGCCTTCGCCTCTGGCTCTGAAATCAGTTCCAGAATGACCGTCGTTTCCGACTCTCGTATCATTCCCGTTTCGGGCATCATTTCTGTTCCTGGGTTTTCTGATATCGTCCCCGTGTCTGAGGTTATTCTTATTCCTGATGTAGTTCAGGTTTAAGTACTCGGAGCTTTCGCGAGGTGTTGCTTCCGCGGAGTCTTCGGTCGACTCTAACGATCCGCTACTTTTCTCCTCCGGGATGGCTTCGAATTTTTGCCGAAACTTAGACCCCAACAGATTACTCGATCGTTTTTGGGAACCCTTCGACGGTAACCGTGAGTTGGATTTGGGAGGTTGGAGTTTTGTCGGGGGCTGGGGATTTCGCGACGGTTCCAACTGTCGCGGACGGCGATGTTCTGCGAAACTAGCTTGCTTGAAATTACTGGAATGATTCAGCAGACTACCGTAACTGTCTCCGTGGGTTTCGGGTTCTACAGTTTTCGACACTTTGTCAAAATTAACTTGCGTTCCCTGACTACAGCGCAGTCTCGTGTCCTGAATCTCTTTTCGCAGAAGCTCGTTAATCTTTTGCAGCTTTTCCAGCGTTTCCTCTGACTTTTGAAGCGCGGTTAGCTTCTCCTTGCCGCCTGATTCGTTTCCTTTACCGGGAGCTCTATCGCTTTTTTGGCAGTCATAAGTCAGGTCCGTTAGAGTGGCCGAATCCTTCACACCGTCTGTTGTTTGCGCAGAGGTAGAAATCTTTTTAACGTTCGACTTGCTGTAATATGTTTGCGTTTCCTCCACAAAAACCATGTGCCCGTTCTCCTGTTCCTTCAATCCTGCGAGTAGAATTTGACAAATCCTTTCGTCTATGTCAGCATCTTGCTTCGCGAGCTTTGAATTACTTTGGCATACGTTTTGAGCTTTCGTCCGAATGTCCGCGCCATTCGTCACGGTCCGATCGTTCGTATCCCCAGTTTTCTTCATGGTTGTAACGTCCTGCGAGTAGTAGATGCTAGTCTGTGTGTTGCTTGAGCAGAACCCAATCATTATTCGATCATAATTTTGAACCTTATCTTCCTTTTCATTAGTACTTTCTTTTTTGTCGGCCGCGGTTTCAGACGTCTGCACACTTGCACTCACAGTTGCCTTGTTATTGGTTTCTGGCGCGGCCTGCTCAGCAGGGGCACTATTCATAGGTGATGTTTGCGTATGCTTTTGCTTGCCCCTATGTTTACTGCACAACCTGTGGGAGCCTCTTCTACAATAAACCTTCCGACTTGAGTGCTTCCGACGACAAAGGTATCTAATCTGCTTTTCCTTCATGATGAGTCTATTTCGTATGGATTCGGGCATGGTGGTAACAGCAATATTGGTCTGCTCTCCGGAGAGGGTGACGAAATACGCGTAGCATTTACGCATACGTCGTTTGTGTTTGCATTCGGTGTGTATCTCGGCCACCTCTCCGCGGACAAGCCTGTTATCGTAACGAGTGAACTCGCTGGGGCGACGTTCCGGGACCGGGGAGAGGCGATCCTCCAAACTATCGGCGAAGCTCAGATCACTATCACTTGAATACTCGCTCGAGGTGTTGACGAGCATGGACACTGAACGTGGCGCAGCACAGTAGCGCGGAACTAAAAATTCGTCCAATCCTTCGTAGTAAGTAGTCGTGGAGATGGAGCTGATCGGTACCTCTCTCAGTTCCAGCTCGTCGACCATATCACTGATCTCGGCCAGTTTCGCGTCTCTCTTCTCGCGCCGACTCTTCCGCCGCTCCGGTCCCCGGGTTTTGGCACTCTTTGAGAATTCGTCGTCGAGTCCATCGTCGGCGGGAAATTGTGTGGACATGTCGACCTTCCTACTTGAAAACTCTCGCTCCGCATCTTGACTGGATCTTTTCAACACCAGCTCGACATCGTCGCTTGTCTTCCGGGTCGCATCCTTGTTAACATGATCCGTGCCGCAGAATGTAGGAACTCGATCGGCAGGCGCGTCTAAACTGGTATCTGATTCTCCTACCGTTTCATGAATCAGCAACGTTGACTTATCTATCTTTTCCTTTTCGCCGTCTGATTCCTCTTCGTTTTTTATATTGCCAGGGCACAAAGATTTCCTCCTATCTCTCGGGAATTGATTCGTTCTCGAGTCCTTCTCCAGTCCGACAATGCTGTCGTTTCCATTCTCATCAACCTGCGTTTTATGGATGTCTGTCGTAGGAGTTACCTCGAACGTCTCTCCTCGATGTCCATTCACCACAAGCGACTCGGTATCATTCGCTATTCTGACTCTTTGAGATTTTTTCACTTTTTTGATTTCCTCCGAGGAGTCGCTATGACCCGAATCGAGAAAATGAACGCTGTAATTATGCATTTCTTTCTTGGAAATATACCCCTTCTCTAGAGGCTCGATCAAGGTTGTCTCCGAGTTGATGACGGTGGGAAACGGGGAGTCGCTCGTCTCGATCGCCGTCTCCTCGATCTGGGTACTTCCCGTCGTGTTCAGGTCCTCTTGCTCCGGCACGATAGGGGTGAGGAGTATGCATTCCGAAGACAGGACGATCGGAAGAGGTGAGGTCGTTTTCAGTCTTTGGTTCTCGGGCGTGAGCGATGTGACGCTGAGAGTCGAGTCTTGGGTCGATCGAGAGAGATCGCTCACGGTCTGGTCCAGGGTCCCCGAGCTCGAGGTTAACCCGGAGGAGGTTTTCATCTCGATCGTGGTGTCGGGACTCGTGCAACAGCAGGAGTAAGTGTGCGGTGCGTCGCTGAAATCCTGACTGCAGCATTTCGGACAGCTGCCGTGGCAACTATCGCACTCTCGAGTCGTGCTCCCGGGAGTGTTTTCCGTGCTGCTGATGTTGTCATGATCGATTATTAGGATGTTTTGCGTCCCTGAGTTGTTGCCGTTTTCTAAATTTAAAATGTCTCCGTTACTCAGCCCTGAGTCAGCGTCTGGAGGCATCCTGGCCGGGATGTCATCCATGGCGCTGGAAAGTCTCGCCGTCGCGGATTTCGGTCTCTTCACGTCGCTGCTGGTCTGACTCCTCTGCGAACCCTCCGAATGAGGTCTTTTCGACCCCATGAACATGTTTAAAGTACACTGCATGTGCGGGCAGTACGTGTCTAGCATCTTCAATATCCGGTCCTCGAACATTTTGTTCGTCGTCCGCTCAGTGGCGGTCTCGACTTCGGAGTCGGGATTCTCTAATCTGTTCTCGCCTTGGGTTGACTCCAAGCGGCTCAACTCGGACTCGATATTCGGCTCGTCCGGAAACCGAAAAGAGTCTCCATCTCGACTGACGTCACTTTCGAAATCCGAGGATCTTTCGATGATCTTTCCTATGTCGAACTGGATCTTGTTCTCCGGGCTACTGCCGGACTGGAAGAGTGGTTTATTGGGTGCCCGACAGATGTCGCTGGTCTTGCGCAGGGTCTCGCCGCCTTTCGAGACTGAAACGATGGAGACCGGGAGTGAGGTCTTGCGCCAGGTCTGCTTGCATTTGGAACAGACTATGTTGTACTTGCAGCTGTAGGAATGTCGTCTCTCGGAGGAGCGGTTGCATCGGCTGCAGCGCATCATCATCTTCTCCGAGATGGTGCCGAGCCGAGTGGATTTTTTGGGGAGCGGGAGGGTGGTGGCGCTGTCTGGTGTGAACACGCTGAAGTCCGTTTGGCAGCCTTGGTCTTTGGTCCCGGGGATACCGAACTCGGTCGGCGATTGAACGGAGCGCTGTCGTTTCAGCGAGTACTTTCGCATCACAGTCTCTGGCATTGAGTAGCGTCTAAATGGAAGCCCCATGTTTGATATTCGGGTTGATTTCGGCTTGTTTTGAGTGCCCATCACGAAGCTAGCGCCGTCCATATATCGGATGCTGCAAACAAGAGAGAAAAGGAAACAGTGCGTCAATTCCAAGTTTCATGTTTGTCCTAAATAATTGGACTACATTTTGCAATTTGGAACTATAAATTCTAGTCCAGTTTAAAAACTGCGTATGTGCCATTAGTTTCCCTATGCACATAAGTGTTTTTCCAGGGGAGCCAGAATTTATAGTTCCAAATTGCAAAATGAAGTCCAATTTTAGATGACAATTCAAAGACGTCAACGTGGCCGCTTATTATGAAGGTAGTGTTAGTTAGATATTTGGACTGCATTTTGCAATTTGGAACTATACATTCTGGCTCAACTTGAAAAACACTTATATGCATAGGGAAACTCATGGCACATACGTCGTTTTTAAGCCGGGCTAGAATTTATAATTCCAAATTGCAAAATGTAGTCCATTTGAGACATTTCCGTACACTCCAATTTTATTGAAAGGGCATAGATGGCTAAAACACAAAATTAGTGATAGACAAATTTTCCACCCCCCCCCCCCAACGAGGTTCAGCCTCCTTCTCATAGTCCTCCATGCGAGACAGTCCACAGAGGCTCCAAACAAATATTCCTTTAAAACCACGTAAAGAAAACGCCCGTTTTTAACTATATGTAAGAGGGCCAGGAAAACCTTAATATACGATTGGTCGTGTGAGCAGAATCACGTAAAGTTAATTTCCTGATGATGTCACTTAACAGCTTCATGCAATAATTCCTTCATTTGTACAATTAAATATACCTGACATATCGATGGCCAAAGTGCAAAATCGTGTATCTTAATTGCGGTGTTTAAAAATTTCAGCCCCTATTTTATTTGTTCGGGGAAATACGAGCTAACTTTATAGCTTGGAGTTCTTGCAGAATAGTTCACTAGCAGAGGAGAGAAATCAAGGAATTACGATGATTTGTTCTCCAATGAAACAATTAAGTACGACAGGAAATCTGCGGTGTCGCTAAAAGATGTACGTGGTCTCGCACTTTAGCCATCGATATTGTACACTTGCGTTGTTTGTCATTAATAAAATCAACGAGAACATGACACGGGTAAAAACAAATATTTAGAGAGGGACCCAGAATCAAGGCTACAATAATATTGTGTTCTTCAGCGATAAATTTTCTGCACGCTTAAAAAATTCTCGCAGTCGTTGAATAGAAACACAGTCACATACTTGGCATGAAAATGCTGGATCTTAATGCTATATGAAAATGCTGTAAATCACATAAAATAGCAGGTATTTTCAACCAGTAATGCGAAAAAGAACACGTATAGTTCATTTTCCGCGCGAGAGAAGTGACCGAGCATTTAAAGTTACCGGCGTGCGACCATTTCAATGTTGCAGTGGGTGTGAGGTATCATCCAGATTTTAAGGCAAATCGAACGAACACAACTTTATTATTTCAACAGAATACTAGATCATTATATTGCGATTCAACCTAATTGAAAATGCATTGTTTCTATAATTTTTACCCAGTTTACTTTTGCACAAAAAAATATTAAGTTGTGGGTATAAAGTCTCGAAGTGCACACTTAATTGACGGAGGTCCTCAAAAATGCTGACAAATATCAAATATTGACCAAATTTAACTTCCGTGAAAATTTCTTGAGCATCAGAAAGTTAAATGGATCCCACAAAATCATTTTCTAAATGGGATTGCAACGATGTTTTACCATGACAGTGATAAACTCCGGAAAAAAAAAATTCTATCATGCAGCTATATATGAAGTTCTAGCTGCGACTGTAGGCTCATTCCTTGTATTACCAAATTTGGCGTTTAATTTAAAAAATGGTGGAAATCGATCATTTCGATGACGGTTTCATGCGAGACGCCATGCTTCACTCGGTATGTTCTACAGTCAGATTATATTCAAATTAACACCATATCCATATTTCATACAGTTTGGGGACTTTCTTTTACACAGTGTGTAAATAATATGACTACGTCTTATGTGCAACGAGACGGAGGGCTTTAGAAAATGATGATGCGGATTCGAATTTCGTCCATATTTTATTTTATATAAATGACTTTGATTGAAAAATGAAAAATGTTTAATAATATTGACTCAACGTGGCTTTCAACGTCGGAAAGTGTCTCAAATGCGATAGCGACGAGTATTCAATTTTATGTCCTCATTTAAGCTCAAAGTTTGGAATTTCGTCCATAGCCGCTTTCCTGGTTAGTTCTAGTGCAGAAAATTACCATAAAACAGGAAAAGCTCTCCACGAGAGACACGTTATACTGCGCCCTAAAAAAACGCTAATAGGCAACCGCCGCACACAAGTATATACCGTCAAGATATTATGCAAAAAAAAAGGAAGAAATCAAGTCGTCCGGATTTTCAGAGGTTCGCACGCAACTGGCTCGTTTTACCCCGGCGACGGTTAAAAACACGCCACTCGATGTTGCCAAATTTCCACAGAGATATTACCTTTCCTATTCACGTTAATGCTAAATCCCTTAATTTTCTCGTCAGTTGAGACACGTCGCGCCTTCAATAGATGCCGACAGCTGGAAAAATGAGAATTTCTATCTTGCGTTGTCGTATCCGCCAGAATGATTTTTAAACTCAACCATGCAACAGCCGATATCCAAGGTCCATTGCAGTTCTGCCTACCCTTCTACGAGCGGTCCCTAGTAGCGCACAACACGCACGCCGCAGTGAACTTTGGAAGTAGGTCAAGAAAGTTCGATGTAAGGGTTCCTAATTTCACCCTTTCTTCCTGATTTGTCTGACAAGTTCCTTATTGCTGTGGTCAGTTCAATCCACGAGCATCATAGTAAAGTAAACATAAACCTGGATTCGCGCACTCTGGGGTGAAGTTTGGCTATACGAAGAACATTAAGTTAAGTTGCTGCTGATAAAAATTAATATTGAATAGCGATGGGCGTTATGATAAAAGAGTACTACATCGGTTGACCTGAATTAACAATCAAATCTCTGATATTAGGTCAGTGAAACTTCTGATGTAATATGGACCGCTTTAAGCAAAAAAGAATCAAGCCACATCAGCTACTGCCAAATTTAATTGAGCAATTTAATTTTTCACATAAAAACGGTTGGGCAAATGTTCCTGCAAATCTCAGTGAATTTTATGCATAGTAAGAAGCAAATTTCTAAAAATTGACAAAGAATTCCGCTTAGACGTTCTCATGTAAAAAAAAATAAATTCCCCAGTTAAATTTGGCGATAACTAATGTGGCTTGGTTCCTTTCTGCTAAAAGCAGTCCATATAACTTTGGAAAGGATTTTTTAACTCAACCCTACAAATTATCTCCGGCATATCTATCGATTCTCGGTGATTTGCTGTTATTTTGTAGGGTCAGGAAACTCTCCCCTCCCCCAATAATTTTTTTTAGCCGAAAATAAACGTCCCTCGTGAAAAAGTTGTTAAACGCTGCCACCTCACTTAAAAAATTCTCTAAGAACCAAAGTTCATTTTTTGACTGTAGCTGTTTTGACCTCTATTCATCATTAGAGGCATTAAGTAATCCGTCATGTAATTTAAGCCTCATTTATGAAACTTATAGATCTTAAAACAAAACGTACACGTTAAAACGGTTTGTAAAAAGCGTAAACGTACGGTTTGTTAAAATCATTTACCGTAGAAAAACGGCCAATACTGGCCTTGATGCATAGACCAGAAGGTCGGTGTTAATTTGGTATCTCATTTGGAAATGGGCGATTTCTTTAAAATCGACATAACTTTTCATCCTGATTCCGGAAACCAAGGTCTGCATAACCGAAGCTGGGGCGTCCAGCCGAAGGTGGGCTTCGAAGGTGGCAAAAATTAAAAAAAAAAAAAAAAAAAAAATGTCTCATCATTCAGCTCATTCCATGCAAAATCTTGCAGGGACTATCACTCGGCCGACCCCGATTTTTATTAAATTTTAATCATTTTTTTATCTAGTAGGAACACACAAGTTGTGTGCTACAACCCAGAGCCGGATTTACCTACTTGCCGCCCATGGGCCGCCTGTATTTTGCCGCCCCCTTCTCATTCGTCTTAAAACATCAATAAAAACCATCAAATGAACGCGTGTCAGCGGGGGAGGGGTGCGTAAAACGCGTTTACTCGTGTTGAATACATTTTTTTGGAAAGCCTTGTCAACACTACTAAAAAAAAGTTAAGTTTCGTAAACTTATCTCTGTGTGGACAAGGCCTTCTCTTCATAAGAAATGAACGAAAAAATTATGAAAGAACAAACATAAATGTGGATTAATGCTATTAACTTCCGCCGGCGCGCCGCGCGGACCGCACCGTGGCGCAATGCGTGAAGTATTCCGACAGTCTTGTAGGCGCTATCCGTTTCAAGCCGACAGCTGCTGAACGCACTGTATTTGATGCAATGCGTGAAGTATTCGTGCAGTCTTGTAGGCGCTAATATATGTTACATGCCGATCGCCGCACCGAGGGCTTCTCCTTTTCATCTCAAGTCCTCGTCATCATTTCTCTCTAAGTAGCGGCGTTCCAGGCCAAATTGCGTGTTTGGTTTCTCTCTTAACTCGATTAAGTAAAGGTGCTGTCTCCTGTATCACTGAAAGACGACAAAATTAGAAATTACTATACTCTCAGGAAATGAGAGCTTTGAACGCCTTTTCTCGTTTGTAATTTTTTTTTCTGAATCCAATTTTTTTTTTCCTACCACTTTTGAAAAAATGGCAAAATTTGCTGCCGTGGGCCGCAAAGTGCAAAGTTTTCTTTTCAGTGCGGTATAGCCACATTTGGAGGTTAAAACCATAGATATTATTGCGAATGTGACAACAGAATTGTCTTTATCCAAAAGAAAAAAACTTTATCCAGCAGAAACGTCTTATTTTGACCCATTGAACACGCTCCTGCAGTCTGGTCGTTTAACTTTAGATCACCCTGTACGCCCCGTAACTTTTTTTTTCAGTGCAGTCTGCAGTATAGCCACATTTGGAGGTGGAAACTCCAATAATATTATTACGAATTTGACAACAGAATTGTCTATACTCACAAGAGCCGCAAAGCGGCCGGATCGCGGCGCTCATAAATTAGGCTGCGCTGACCAGCGGAAGGTGGCCGCGGCATTGGACCTGCCAAGTTCCGCCACGGCACAGGAACAGCCCTGGAAAACTCCATTCGGACGTACTTCTGCCAAACGGAACTATGTGCATTAAGACACCCTGAGACCCATAGGAATATATGCATAGCAGGGCTCACCTCATAATGCACATAGTTCCGTTTGGCGGAAATACGACCATTTCTCAGACACGCGAGGTCCGAAAAGAATTACACGCAGATCGATGAGGGCGAAACCGCAAGGGAAAACTGGGAGGAGGAAACGGAACCTCCTGACCCTTTCCCCGACCGTGCGCCGTCAATCCGACCAATTAAGCGCTAATTAATTGCACTTCGCGGAAAGCTCGCGCGAAATCGCTAACGCCAATTTTTGCACTTGCTACACGTTGCCCGATCGCGTCGGAACTTTCACCGGATTTTCGGTGTTTTATACCGAAGACGTAAAGACGGGGCGCTGAAAGAAGAAAATGAAGCCACCTCTCCTATTGGTTAGAGGACTGAGAAAAACTAATAACTTTATCTGAGATTCCTGTGAGATTATTCCTCATTGCCAAGCCAAAATAGGTTTATTATAAAAAGTCACGAAAAAATCTTAAATTCATAGAAATTCCCATCACATCGGCTAAAAATCGGCCAATCAATTGTGCAAAATTATTTCGCAGCTAAAATTAGGACGATGTGGTGAATGAATATTTAAATCTGCATCTCTCAAATTTAAAAATAAAAAAAATACGAAACACTCGTAATTCAATGAAATGACGAACGTTTTTTTCTTTGCAGTGACTAACTCGATAACTAACACTTTTGCCTATAATTTTATTGATCAACCTAATTTTCCCCCTTTCAATTCTCTCTTCTGATTGCATTGTTTGCATTAACTAATACTTGATTTTGTGGAGCCGCCAATTTTAGGGAAAAGGATGATGAGAGGATTATGGAGAAATGGTTTTGTGGTAGAGTTTTTGATAGCGACAAAATGTTTGGCAAATCATGACGCAATCTGGCGGTTAGGGCATGTTCTTTATTTATGAACCGTAGGTATCCTATCTGTGACTCGTTTCCTTCGCAGACCACTAAAACGCGAGAAACTCTTCGACCCCATTTGACCCTCGCCTCCATACAACCCCTGGGTAGTTGGTATACGAGCCAAATCGGAATTAAAATAATTTTTTTTGTATATCACAGTTGTGTGAAAATGCCTATGATTTTTGCGATAAGGAACTAATTTTTCTGGCACATCCTCGAGAGCGCCAATCTGCACGGGAGAGCTGACGGCACATACATTGTTTTTAAAATTAGCTGAAATTAACAGTTTGCAAAGTGAAGTACACTTTTGGCTCGTTAGAAACAGAATAATATAGGTATGCCAGCTGTTTTCGCAATCCCCATGCGGAAAGTTATTATTAAGGATAAGCTAGAAAAGTGGTTCTACTCCAGGTAAAATTGCTTATTCTCAGTCCAAGTAAACAATGGTTTTTTTTGGCAAGCGGGAAACTTAGGTTCACGAACACAAAAATTGCTTGCTTCGCTCGTGGGTGTTAAATAAATACACTTTCAATTAATCCACTCCGTTTTGCGGCAATTTTGATGGGGAAGCAAGGGTTACAGTGATTGATTTCTTTTCTTACCCTATCCAGCGGTCTATTAGGTTCGGCTTCGAAAACGTTATGGGGCCAACGTTCTATTTTGTCAGAAATTTTATGATTTATTTTCCTGACGTTTGGCGGGCCATCGCGTAGGGCCAAACCTCCATAACCAATCATACTTAACGGACGCCAGGGTCCCCAGTCTGGACTGGGGACCCTGGCGACCAGCCAAACTGCGATTGGTATCTGGATCCCAGGAGTAGGACTGGAAACCCTCCCTGGGGCGCGCCGGATTTTTTTTTTTGGGGGGGGAGGGGCTCCTTGTTTGTTCCCCCTCATAATCTAGGCGCGAGTGAGCA